GTCTTAGTCCAATTTAGTGCTACTAATTGTTTATTTATTCCAACCTATTTCCATTGTCGCGGCTTTTATTTTGGGCCAACTAATAAGCCAGCCCAATTTCGTGAAAAAAAAAAAATAGAGAGAGACAGGATGAATACATTTTTCATGCATTGCAGTATAGCTCATGCAACGGACTAATAAATAAATGTGACTGTATTGATTGTGATCTAGAGCCATTATGGTTTCGATTTTAGTTTGCGTTGTTTGATTATCTGACTAATTGTCAGCCAATTTTGACATGTAGGGCGTCATTTTGTTCTGGTGCGCCTAAACATACCATTACTCTGCAAGATACTATGGCTTCCAGACACGAGTAAACGTAAATATCTGATTAATTGTTCAAGACTACGCCGAGGAGGTGCCTGATCGTTTTACTTTTATTCCGTTGGCTATATAAGTGGCGGTTATTCCAACCTCCGACAGCTGGATCGTCTATTCTTATACGTTTTTGTTCCTTTATATGATTCATATGGAATTTATCATTTTTAAATTTTTTAAAATATTAATTTTTTTTTAACGCTGATAGCAAAGTTCACACATGAGGCCATAACAAAGACTCAGAGATTAGAATGATCTAATATTAAGAATAAAATGAAAAAATAATAGCTGAAGCATGAGTTGACGCAATTAACTGGGATACACAGCTATAGGGATATTTGGTTAAAATCTGCGTTAGCGGAAATCAAATGAAAAGGGGTGTCTGGAAAATGTGATGCGGAAAAAAGGGGGCGTGGTGATGGAGCGAAAGCCCGCAAGCAAAGCATAAGTGCCCCATGTCGGCAAACCTGTCTGAGACTGTGTGTGAGGCCTTAGGCCCACCCGCTTTACACAAAGTCAACACGCTCACGATTTGGTTAATTGATTGCCCCGGCCCTCCTAACTCTCCCTCTCCCCAAACAAACAAACAGAATTTTTTGCCCTCTCGTCTTACTCCTTCTGATTTATTTATATATCATTTTTAACATATTTTATTAAAAATAAAAAAAATAAATTATTTATAACATATTTTATTAAAAATAAAATAAATTATTAATTATTTTTTAAAATTTAATACGTTTAAATCTCTACCTCAACAGAAACAAAAAAATTATCTTTTTAACATTTAATAATGACATAAAAATAAAGACAAACATAAAAAAGAGTAAAATATCCTGACTTAAAATTTATATTTTTTTCCTATCCTATAAACAAGACAAGGAGAGGATATCATGATAAGATTGGATAATATCAAAAAAAAAAATTGTATCCTAAAATTCGTGTCAGCCACGATAAAGCCAATGATAGTGCTTGTCTTTATTATTAGATTCTAAGTAATTTTTTGACGGAAAGGAGCTCAAACACAAAAGAAAATAAAACAGACAATGATATATCCAGGGAGGTCTACGGTATTATTCGATTCTAGATACTATACCACCAAAAGTAAGAATTGAAATATTTAATCCTATAATGCTGAACTATATATAAGTTATACATTGATTCAATTTAAATGCTTGTGATTTTTCAACAATTTAATAACTAAAAGATAATTTTTTTTCTAATTTTCCTGTTATAACAGTCACTTCATCACCCACTATTTCTTTTTTTAAACCATCTTATATATCCAATATCACAGATTCAACTTGACATTCATCTACATTAAAGATGAAATTAGATTATGCTGAGTTGGGTTTTGGTTAAATGGACTTAAATCTACATGGCAAACCAAAGGTGCCTGTATAAGATGTTTCTCACGATGTTTCTCACTACTCAAGCTTAATCATACTTAAAGACTGGCCTAACCAAAGAGCCTATTTAAAAGCCAATTTAAATGTAAGCCTTTTAAATAAACTAGTATTTTAGTTTTAAATATCTCAGATATACTTTAGGACTATTAATATAAATATATAACCTGATTTATCAATTAGAATATATAATAATTAAAAAGACTTACCAACTACAATACAATACAATAATAAAGTAATAACATTAAAATCAATCTACAAGTCCAATATAATTAAAATATAACTAAAAATAAAAAATAATTTGATTAAAAATTAAATTATGAAACTTATATGTGTATGATATATTACATAATATATATGCATGCATGCATAAATAGGCCGGCCTAAGATTAAGCCTTAAAAAACTAAGGCTATATTCAGTAGAGTGGAATTACAAGCACAGAAAAGGAATTGTAGTTGGAATCATAAAACAATGATATTTGGCACATGTGAATTTAAATTCTCAAGAATCCTAATTCAAGCAAGAAAGGCTTAATTGAATTTTTTGACAGGAGCTATGGAATTGGAGCAATTCTATAGAATTGTATTTTTTGAAGACAATTTTATCCTCATATAAAAATAGAGAAAACAACTGTGCCCTTGCTCATTTAAGATTAATGTCGGAAGAATTGAGCATGCAGATGGTCGCACAGTGGACAATTAAAAATGCTCAACTCGTGCTTTCATTTATATATATATATATATATATATATGCTCAATTCAAAATGCCCAACTCGGACAATTCAAATATATATATATATATGTTTATATATAATTTATATATTTATAATATTTCTTTAAAAAAATATTTTAATTACTTTTAATATCCATCATCTATATAATATTTCATTTGTATATTAAATAGTATATGAGAAATTAAATCGCAATATTAATACATTTTAATTTTATTTTTTAGGAATATTTTTGTTTTTTAAGTATAATTCTATTTTCATGTCTTACATACCAAACAAAAATAATACAAAGATCCCATCTATTTTTTCTAACATATCAAACATATTTTTAAAATTTAATTTTATTTTAATTTTAATTTCTATTTTAATTTCAATTCCGATTATAAACCATTCAATCATATTGAATGAGACCTAAGCCTAACTTATTTAATAAATAAATTTGGTTAGTTCTGAAATAGGCCACAGCATAGGCTTCTGGTGGAAGCATGGCCTATCACTACCTTAATGGACATCCTAATATACACATATAGCAATAACTACTAAACAATAAAATATTTTTAGTTTACATTAAATATCCAGAAAATGAAATTTAGATTCTTTGCATTTTTACAAATTTGATACGAACAAATAAAAATATCAATTTTTTGTGACCTGATGTAAATCTATATATATCTATATACAATATAATGTAAAATCTCCAACGAGGCCAGCAACAATCTAGATGCTCTATCTTACGAGAGTCGCCCATGAGCATTCCACAATGAATTCATGGAGGTGTTGGAGGTGTCACACACACTCGTGTTGTCTCTGTTTTATTAATCTAGTTTGGGCTTTGCCCACTATGTTCATATAAAAAAAAAAACTAATAAAATCTCCAACGAATTATATTATACATAAATCATAAATAACGTAACTTTTTTTTTGGCCAAGCGCAACTTAATTTTTAAACCACGTGTCCTTCTTTCAATAAATAAATCACTTTTTTTATTTTGAATATAGATTACCTTAACGCAGCAGTTTCTTGGTGAATTTTTATTTGTTGCCGGGGAGGGAAAGCTTTTGAGGTTTAAAGTGTACAAGAAATAGCGCTAAGAGTTAAGCATAGCCAACAGTGTCTTGTTAACGAGGTAATTACCGTAAGAAGAAAGTAATTCAATCCTTCATATGCAAGGGCTTAATTGAATTGAGAAACGTCTGGGGTGTCCCATTAAAATCAAAAAGCTCAAGTAGCAGGCGACAACTAACGAAAGCAAGTAAAACAAGACACTCCAATCTCTATACACGTGGTTTCATGGCTCTTTAATTAGGTGATGACCACAAAGCCCTGTTAGGTGCCATCTTTCCGTCTCAATTTCTCCCACTGTCATCAACCTTTTCTGTTCCTTATCCGATTTCTTTAACGAAAAAACCAGTGTTTTACTTTCAACTCGCATCTTCTATATATATATATATATATATGTTCATTGAAGTGATTATTATGGCTCTGGTCAATGTTGTCTATGTCGGATGTAAAATTACTTCAAAAATAAAGGCAAAGTATTGATCTGTTTGCTATGGAAGGATAAGATCACATAATCTTTAGCTTTGTCCTCGCATAATGTTCATGCTCATCATCCACGCTCATCTAAATCTTCCAGCGCTTCAAACACGGAAGGATTTCTGCTGTTGGATCAACTTACAGATGTGGTCCCCAGATTCCCTTAATGTTTGACCACAGAACATGAAATGATAGTCAAAGTGCGACTTTATGAAAGAGCAATACATTCTGATTCTCTTTAATGTATATTACAAAACAAAGAAAGATTTTTTTTTCCTCTATAAGCTATTCATGCACCTTCTTTTTTCCAAGTAGTTGAAACATGCGGACTCCAGTTGGCGGATAAGAGGAAAATTGATATCCCAAACATTATAAATTGGATTAATATTCATAAATAAAAATGAGTCGAAGTAAATGGTAGGAACTGTGGAACAAAATTCGCGGCTACCATTAATGAGGATGGTTCGGTCAGAATGGATTGGTATCGTTGAATTCTGAGCTCGTGACTCATCCCCGCCTAAGAAAGAGTCCCATTAAACAGCGAATGAGAGGAAAAGCTTACAAGTCAAGCCGACACCCAAAAGTATGTCACCAAATTTACAAATTTAGACACGAGCTCCCATCCCACATGAAATATTTATTCAACTCTATCACGTCACTACATCCGTCACTCTCCCCCTCATCTACGATGATATTTCACATAATGTAGAAGGCATCTTCCTTTCGAATCTCTACCCTAAAGTTTTAGATATTCCATTCAGATGCCTATTCCCAAATCTGCTTTAATCCACTCATATACCCCCTCAATGTTATCATATTCTGCCAGCATAGCCGCCCTAAAATGTTCTAGTCATTACAAGAATCTGCATGAGTCTGGAAATAAAAATAAAACTGCCACAAGGCCGGTCAAATTCTGTTTATGTGACAATCCAAAAAAATAAATGCCCGAGGTTAAAAGAACAAACAGAAGGATGGAAATAATGGGATTTCTATTATAGACAGTGATTTTAAACCACCTCAGTCGAGTGCCAAAGTTGCCTAGGACACTTCCATATTGGATGAAAAATTGATTTATATATACGGGTCTTTAACTAAGGAAAGAAACAAAATGTTTCAGAGTTTCCTTCCCTCTCAATCAAAACAGCTCGAACCAAGTAAGAAATGAGAATGTGTTCCTTCAATTGTCAGGCAGATCAAGCTTCGGGCCATAGGATGGCCTGGCCAGTTATTGCTCTTCCCCCATCAACTTCAAGAGCGAGGGTAGAAAGGAATTGAACAAAAAGCAGCTCTACCTTCGTCCCTGAGCCCAGTTCCTGTTATGATTCTTCATAGGTTTGAAAGGTGTATTCCGGTGGTTTATCCCCCCTTGCTTGGGGAGATCATGCAACTCCATAACCTGGATTGTTCGCTGCTTCTTGGCTGCACATAAAAATGAAATACAAGCCTCATCAATCGATTTTTTAGAGCCCATGTCACAACAATTAACTTGACAGCCTAATGGACAGGATTAATAATAGAATAGATTTTAAGGGAGTCTAACAAACCATTTTCAGCTTGTTGATAACTCTCCTGGAGTTTCCTCTTAGTGGCTTCTAGCTTCATTTGGACTGAAGCATCATATGAGCACTTCGACTTCTGATAGTGAAGAGATGAATGTGAGACATAACTTAAAATCTAACAATTTGAGACATTCAGATTGAAATTCTTCCTTACATCTTGCTGGCCAGCAAGAGGAGGCCTCTTGGGGACACCACTCCTGTCCATCTTTTGCAACATCCTTGGCTCCATATTCTCTCTTCGTTGCATGCTTGATTTTAATGGTCTACCAGGACCAGAACCAACAGTTGCTGATTTATTTAGCTTCACAGAAGCCTCATTTCCCTTGATTTGCTGACTTTTGATGACCTTAACTACAGTGTCCACCCCATCGGAAGTCTGTTGTTTCCTTCTTACTATGTTTTGATTGTCCAGAGCTGGTCTTCTGCCATGTTCCCGGTTCTTGATGAATTCCCCACCCTGTCGAGGATCTGAAACAACATTCCCCATTCATTGTCATGAATCAAAGAAGTGGGGAATTCAAATAAAGAACCGAAGAGCAAAAGCTAGCTAAGAGTAACCATAAGAGATTGCAAATTCAACTCACTTCCATCATCATCCATCCCGTCGAAGAACTTCACACCATCCAGCAATTATATCCAACCAGGAAATCGAAGTCAGCATTTAACCATCAAATACTGCACAAAAAATACAGGGCAAATGGTAAAAGAAGAGCTCAGTACCTGTGACAGCTCCATTGAGGCAGTTTGAGCTGCAAAGAAAGCCCCTTCATCCATCGGAGGTGATGGAAGCCCTTCTTCTTCTTCTTCTTCTTCTTCATCAACAACCGATGGATTTACTGAATCTGGGGTACCTTCAGAACCTAAAAATAATTATAAAAAACATCCACAATCAATTTCAAACATGAGTTGATTGTTAAAATGGACCAAAAACAGCAGGATTAACCATATGGCCACCAAATGAAGGTGGATAACATAATCGTACCAGTATTGGTTGTGGTGGCATTGACCCACTCATCTACCATTTCTTTCCAGCCACTGCAATTCAAAAAAGTCTGTTTAAAATGCAAATATTTTTTTTGGCATATTAGGCCCAAAAACAAACAAAACAGAAACCGCAAATGCAAAACCTCTTAAATCTTAAGTGTTTCATTTGACCTTGATTCGTGTTCAGACCTCAGAAAGAATAACACAAGACTAACGTTGAATACATTGATGATAAGTTACGTTCTTTTACATTACGCGTTAAAGATCTACAACATTCAACTCAAATTCACAAGAAATAAGCAGGCAACAAGGAACAATAGCAAAAAAAGATGCGCCAATTATACATAACATTTAACAGGCAGCAAACAGGCTCATTTTTCTCGCAAAAAGAGCTTGAGATGAATTCATGGCAAACAGGTATCTGGTGAAATTGAAACATACTCAATAAGAGTCCGCGCAAGTTGACGAATGTCCTTTGATCCATGCTTTCGGAAAGGATTGACAGCCTTTCCAATCTCGGTCGCCTGAAAAATGTTAAATCTGTCAAGATTTTCCCAGAAAAACAAGAATGAAATGAAAAGGCCACAACACACACGTTGAATGACAAGAGATGATTTAATTCAAACCTTAAGAAGATCCACAGTCAGTTCCATCAGCTGGAGCCTCCTCAACGACTCAAATAATTCCGACTCAGACTGTTGCAACATAGAACAAAACATGAATGAGTGACCCGAGGATTTAAGAGTTTTCCAAAGAACCAGTTAGCATTTAAAATTATCGCTGCCTAAGGTCAGAGACCAATTCTCCAATCAAATTGCAACATCAAGAAGCAAGAAGTGAATTTTGAAAGAGAGAAATAAGGAAGACTAATCTAAAAACTGACAGCCAGAGCATTTTGAAAGAGAGAAATAAGGAGGCCATACCTCTCCTTCGCTGTTACGAAGAATTTCCTTGATCCTCAAAATTTCTCGAACTAATTGAGACTCCTCTTCAATATCATCCGTCAATGCTTCAGCTTCTCCATAGCTATAATTGTTAAAGTGGTTCATGTTCATCTCCCCGTGGTCGTCTCTGCTACTATGGGCCTTGCTCTCTTTGCTTGCACCCGCTTCCACTTCAACTCCATCTCCATTAAAACCACTCTTGCAACCTCCGTCGTACTCCTCGTCAACACCGGACACCGCCCATTCCAGTCGCTCACATCCCAAACAACGAGTCATCAGACAAGAAAACAGCCGTTCCGCGATTCCATCTCTTCGCAACCGAAACTCCTTCGGACAATCAGAAGCGGCCACCATGATCGCATGGTCGATAATATCAAATATATCCGAGTTCGCCGTCCGAAAGTAACTCCTCCAGTAATCCAAGGACCCGGGCTTCATTTTCAGGAAAGAAGGCCGGATTTAAAATAAAAAAAATGGATTTTTCCAGCAAGCAATCAACGGCAGATAAAACAGGGGATTCTCACGCGATAAGGACGTGGCATCTCAATAGCAAAGAAGAAGTTCAAGCAAATATTGATACTGCCCAGAAATCAGAGTCAGATTGTAGCTCGTAGCTTGATTTTTGACAGTGACTCGACGCAGACAAGGGATTTGCGAATATTAACAATCCTCGAAAATAATGCGAACGAGATTATCGTCAATCTCGGGCAGACAAATAGGGGTATACGTGGGACGGGAGGATCCAAAAACGGTATCAGAATGTACAGAAAGCAACACGGAAACAACAATCGTCGCGTTTAACGGATTGTGAGTTAGCTAAGGCCTTTAGAAAAGGTAATGAATTTTAATTTGTTGTTGGTAGCCGAATTTTTTTTTAAAAAAAAAAAGGGGAAAGAAAAGAGCGATATTTCAGGGGAAAGGCAAAAATGAAGACGAATTATATGTCTATCTACTCCACTTCTGCTTATCTTTGCTCTCTGCTTGGAATACCGGGGGCCTCAGCAAATCCAGAAATATTGGCTCTTCAAAACCACCCCTCTTACCAGAAATGCGAATGCAAGTGAACGCATTATTGTAATAAAAAACTGGAAATATAATGTTCTAAAGACGTACAGAGAGGGCAAATGGGATCGTATTGGGTTGAAAATGAAATAATAATTAAAAATGTGAGAGGACTAAAAAGGTAGGTAATGGATGTGGTGAGATGTAGATATGGAGAGGTGGGCCGCGGACGAAGAGCTCGCACCTTGTGCCCACTTCGAATAGATTCGGACACTCATTCTTTCATGTGAATAAGTGATGTATTCACTGTTCAATTTGGAATTTCGATCTCATGAACCGATCAAGTAAAAATAGATGAAAGAAACATCATTCATCTTATTTTTATCTTCATTAGAGGAATTTGCTATTTTCTTTATGCCTCCCTACTTCATCTCATAGCATACTTTTTTTTAAAGAAAAAAAATCCAAATTAGATGGTTACAGCTTACATGAACAGGCCTCGTTTTTTGGCTCAACACGTATGCTTTTCCTTGCCTCCTTGTTATCACTGTTTTTCTTTTTAATTTCACGCACTCGATTAAAAATAAATATTCCATAATGATTAATTAAGCAAGCATAACATATATGTCCTCCGGACTAAAGTATAAAACATTGATAACAAATTTTTAATTATAAAAAGAATGTTAATTTAAAACCTAATTTCTTAAAAAAAGTTACATATTTCAATTTTACCCTTATTAAATTCTTTATATAAATACTTTGATAATAATAATTTAAATCTCAATGCATCATTTTTTTAATAAAAGAGTAATAAATGACGTGAGGGCATAGTTAAAAAATGATTATTAAAGTTACTCAATACTTTATATTTTAAATCAAATAAATGTTTTAAAAAAAATATCATAATGCTATGATTAGGAGAGTGTTGCATATGGTAATTGAACAAACTAACGTGACTAAGCATGCCAATAAAGCCGCGCTGTTTCACCGGCTTTTGGAACGGTTACACCATAGAGGGGAGGACCGATCTTTTCCACTTTTTCCTTCTGGTCCCTTTGAAACCCAAAATATAATTTCGTGTCATTTTCTTTCATTTATTTTGTGTTGATGTATGTCCTGATTGTCATTCAATTCACTATTATTAAATAAAATTCGCATGCAAGGATGGCTCATTGTGGTGGGCAAGATATTTAGATGCTTGCAGAAGTACCAGTGTTTTGTATGGATATTTTTAGCAGGGAAAAGAGCTATTGCTCTAGTGGTTAATTTTTTTCTCCCTTTTACTGCACTCCAAGCTTCAGGTTGCCCTTTTGATGGGGAAAAAAATTCGAACACGCCTATAAATCATTATTGATTATGCCACCAAAGAAAATATTGCATTCTAATTGTCTCCCACCTTTAGCATTCAATTCGACCAGGTCTTTTGCGCTACTGATTTAAGTTGTATATTTTTGAAAAGCTGTGCTTGAAAGAAAGAGAGGGAGAGAGACATTTTCACATACAACGTATTTTAATCCCAATCCTGCTTACAGACCCTTTAAAAATGGGTTTGGTCTCCGATTAGTCCTCCTAGACCTTTTATTTTTTTCCCTCTTTTCGTTTCAATTAATGTTTGGTTAGAATTGTAGAAAATTGTCTCCTTAGAATAATTGTTAATATTGCTAAGTAATATGATTGAATTTTTTTTTTAATAGAACAACGCCAACAACAAAGATTATCTCTCTTAAGATATGAAAAATAAGAGGAAGGTCTCTCCTAACTAAATTGAGAGACATACAAAAATTGAAATTTAAACTTCCAGCCACTTGTTTAAGTAAGCAAAAGCCCTTGCCATTCATTCCAACTTTAATTAATTTATTTTATTTTTTGAATTAATATATGAAAATGACATAATTTGTTAAATTGTGTATTAGTGAAATTAGAATTAGAAATTACTCAATTTAAATAAAAATTTTATATTTTATTTTGAGTGGTTCATAAATAAAATTAGAGGAGTATTAGCCTAATGTATGATCACATGCTTATCCACGTATACCCAAAATCAGTCTAAGCATGGCATTAAACATTTCAATAAATTGCCCTGGTTATCACATAGTATTACAATTATAGCAATTCGCAAATGTAAAGACTTTTAATGTTCTATGCAATCCACGAGCTAGATTAGTTTTACTACCACCATTAAAAAAAATTATATATAACGTTTTCTGTAGAGCAATTATTGAAAAACAGTATTTTCTAAATAGTCACTGTATATTTTTAAGACTATATAGTAATTATTTAGAAACAATCGTTGTATAATCTCTTTTTCATAGCTAGTTCTTTTTAAACAACCATTGTATAGTTTTTTGACTTTAAAAATACACACATTTTGTATAACACGCTAATTGGTAATATCATTATATTTAAATTATTGATTTCTTTTGTCTAGTGACACACATACTCTTTCTCTCTCTCATTGTTATTTGTTAAGTTTAAATTCATCTCTCACACTCTACTTTTATGGCACTCAACTTTCTTTCTCTCTCCCATACCCAGCCTTACTCCTCCACTCCACACCCAACTCTCTCTGTTACTCAAACATTTCTTTTGATCTAAACTTTGAGTTTTCATCTTTAACACTAAAACGATCAACTTTGACTAAGGCACCTTGCGTGATATATATTCTTCTCCTCCAATTTATGTGCACGCATGGTCCCATGCTCCATCGTCTAGTTTATGTGGTACCTAATTTCACTAGCATCAATCTCCCTCAACTCTATTTCATCATTATCCTGGATTATATATTGCTAAATGAAAAGCTAATGTTCTAAATTTGCAACTGCAATTTGTAGTTTTTTATTTTAGATATGTGGTTTTTCATATTTGTATGGTGCTGATGTTCATCTTTTTTTTTTTTAAGGATGATTCTCTAGATCTATAGTTTTTATTTTTTATTTTACATTTAAATTATTGAATAAAAAACTTTAGTATCAACTGTTGTTAATTTTAAACCTGAATGTTATCTCCACTACTATCGATGACGAATCCAAACTTGCCAACATGGGAGGGCAAAATTTAAAACCATCAAAAATATGGGAGGCAAAAACTAATTTTCACATTTTTTGCTAAATAAATTAAAAATAAAAAAATCAAGGAACATTGGAGCCTTCCTTGCCTCGTAATCGTCACTGACTACTGTAGTCTTTATTTTTTTATTTTATTTTGCTCAAGAATTTAAGTGAAAAAAAATAAATTATAATTGATATTCTATCTATTTAAAAATATAAAATATTTTTAATTAAATTTTACTTTTTAATAAAGTAGTTATTCATTTTCAAACTAACATATTTTTTTATATTTACCCCTATTAAACATTCTATAATAAATATAAAATTACTATCAATATGAGCACTAAAAAAAGATAATAATTATACCTTCAAAGAATAAAAATGCTTTATATTTTTAAATATCTAACTCTTTAAAAAATATTTTATATTTTTTAACGATTGGAGTAGGTTGTTAGGAATGTTGTCCCTATTTAAAAAAAATGCACAGCTCTATAATTGTCAAATATACAGCGGTCATTTGAAAGCAGTTATGTATTTTGCAACAATACAATGGTTGTTTTTAAATAATTATTATATAGTTGGCAACTATATTTAACCGCTATATATTAGATTTAAGAATAAATAATACCATAGGTTAAAAACTGTTGTATATAGCAAAAAATAACTGTTATATATATAACTTTTTTTACAGTAGCGTACAAAGATGCTTTGATTGCATAAGATAATGTTGAAATGTTTAGACTTTAGAACGTGCGAACAAAAATTAACTATAAAACGTCGATTTGAAATTCTTTTAAAACTTGCTGAGCATGAATGTTGTTGTCCGCTCGGTCAAAAAGGTTCCAGGCGGTTAATAGAAACCATATATAAATTAAGCACTAATTAAAATTGATGTGAATAGTAAATATTATTGTCAATTAAACAAGTAATTAAAAGTTTTAACCTGATGCATGTAGTAATTTACTAAAACTTAATTATAAGTTTCTATTACTGCTAGGCCCACCGCCAGTGACAGAGCAGCATTACTTTGGAGAAAATTGTAAATGGAGTACATAAAATTTACAATTTTTCACCTCTTATTTTTAATATTTTACACCTTTTGAATTAAATAAAAAATATTTAAACTTAAAATTTTATTAAGTATATAATATTTTAATGATTTAGATAAAATATAAAAAGTATATTTATAGTAAAATATTATTTCCATCTATTCAATATAATTTTTTTAAAAGTAAGAATGTTGATAAAATTATCTATATTATTATAATTATAATTTTAATATAATTATTATTATTTTAAAAAATATTAATTTTTATTAAATTATTTTGCATTTCTTAACTCGAAGTTATAACTCTGCCACTGCCCACGGTCTAGATAAGGGCATAAGTAAACTTTATTATAATTATTTATTATTGTTTGACTAGCTAGAGTCCAACATAATTCTATAATCAGAATCACCGATCATTTCTGCGCCCAGAAAAAAAAAAATCAATAACAAACAAAGAGTTACGTGCGGATTAGTTCAATAATCTGTTTTAATGCGATTGATTTGTATTATCCATTTTAATTTATATTAAATATTATCAAGAATGTCAAATTTAACGTGACTGGCTAAATTTATTAGACAGGTTAATCTACGATTGAGTTTTTTTTTTTTCCTTGGGAGACCTGTTAACTAACGTTTTATAATCTTGTATATTAACGCATGCAATGAGTAAAATTGACATATAACAGAAATTACAGATTTCAGTAATTAATTTCAGTAGCCTTTTTTTTTTTGGAAAAAAACCGTCAACTATTTAAAATTAATTTCATAATTTTGTCATCTTGAAATTTAATAAATGGCATGAATAAAATTGACACGGCAGTGGTTCAAATTTCACCAAATTACCGTCTTTATTTTTCAATTCAGCCAATTGTCCTGGTCGGCGAGGATAGAAATGCTGAGACAAACAAGCCACACATAGTATACGGTGATATTTTCTGTACCTTCTCTCCATGCATATTTTCACCCATGTTCATATCAGCTTTGATTAACCGTTTGATTTAAATGGTTGTTTAGTCATTACCATTACTTAAAT